CATGTGCCACCATGCCCGGCTAATTTTTGTACTTTTAGTAGAGACAGGGTCTCACTGTGTTGACAAACTGATCTTGAACTCCTGACCTCAAATGATCCACCAGCCTTGGCCTCCCAAAGTGCTGGGAATACAGGTGTGAGCCACCATGCCCAGCCTCTCAATTTATTTGGGTACTTAAAAATATCCTACAATAATTCTAAAAAAATCAACTTGATTGAAGTATAATTTGCACACAATCCTGTAAAATGCAGCCGTTTTTACAGTTAAGTTTTGACAGATGTATACACCCATCTACATGTATATATACCCATATAACCACTACAATAAAGAAATAGAACTTTTTTTTTTTTTACCCAAAATGCGTTCCTTTTGTCCATCCAAGTCATCCTCTGCCTTTATCCCAGGCAGTCATTGATTTGCCTTCCATCACTACAGATTAGGTTTGTCTTTTCTATGCTTTCATATAAATGGAGCTAGACATTACTGTCTATGTAGCTTCTTTTGCTTAGTGTAATGTTTTAAGGTTCATTCATGTTGTTGCATATATCAGTCCATTTTATTATTTAGTTTAATATAGTTTTCATGTGAACATATGTTTTTATCTTTCTTGAGTAAGGAGGGGAATTGATATGTCATATGGTAAGATATCTTTATAGGAAGCTACCAAGATGTTTTCTAAAGTTGTAGTACTCTTACCAGCAGTGTGTGAGATTTTTAGTTGCTCCATATCCTCATGTTTCTTATTGCCAGCCGTTTTAGTTTAGGTCATTCTCCTGGGTATGAGATCAGGGATTGCAATAGCTCGTGTGTCAAATCTGGCATATCTGTTTTTGTTTTTTTTCATCCCCATCCCCATGGACACGAGGGAAACATCTATTTTTGTAGATAGTTTTATGTATTATCTATGGCTCCTTTACTTCTACAAAGCAGAGGTAAGTAGTTGCAACAGTGACGACATGGCCGGCAAACCCTAATATATTTCTGTCTCTTTGTAGAAGATGTTTACTGACCTCTGGAATAGAGGTTTCTCATTGTGGTTTTACTTTGCATTTCCCTGATGACTAATGATGTTGAACATCTTTTAATGTGTTTATGGGCCAATTGTATATCTTTTTTTGGAGGTGTCTGTTTTAATCTTTTGCTTATTTTTTATTTCAAGAACTTCTACTTGGTTTTTTATATTTTCTGTTTCTTAGATGAAATTGTCTATGTTTTCCCCATTGATCCTCATCATATTTTCCTTTACTTTATTGAGTATAGTTTTAATAGCTTTTTAAAATCCATGTCTGATAACATCTGGGTCATCTTGGGGTTGCATCAGTTAACTGTCTTATCCCTTGTGATGAGACCACATTTTTCTGGCTCTTGGTATGTTGAGTAATTTAAGATTGTATACTGGACATTGTGAATGTTATGTTTTGGAGACTGGATTATTTTATATTTATCCAAAGGGTATTGTTTTTGTTAGCAGGCAGTTAACTCGATTAGACCCATTCCAAACCATTATGCCTGTGGTGGGAAATGGCTTAGCTCTCAGTTCATTTCTTGTTTTAGCTTTAAGCTGCTTCTAGTTTACTTGAGGCCAGGAGTTCAAGACCAGCCTGTGCAACATAGTTAGACTCATATCTCTAAAAAAAATTTAAAAATTAGCTGGGCATGGTGGAGTGCACATGCATAGTTCAGAGATAAGCTGTAGATTTAGGCTGTTAAAATACAGAATATAGAGGTTCCCTTCTGTGGTCTTCTCCTTTGTAGAGTCCCCCATCACTTTCCTGCATCGTCCTGGCCTTCTTTCCTGGTTCTTCTAGTTCCTCTGGCCAGAAAGATGTCAGTCTTTCAACTGAAGTTGTAGCTGGTCCTGTGCCTTTGTGATGGTGACCACAGCCACGTGTGGGCAAGGCTGCCAAAATTGGGATCTCAATCTACATGGATCACTTACTCCCAGTTTGATTCTCTTCTAAAATGCATCTGTTTTTCAGTCTCCAGAGCCCTCAGGTAGTTGTTTTTTTTGTGTGTTTTATCCACAGAGCCTCCTTTTAGGAGGATGGATATATTGGGCTCTTACTCATCCATATTTTTTTGTCCATTTTAAAATTGCAGTTTGGTTATTTTTGAGTTGCAAGTGTGCTGTATTTATCCTGAGTAGAAGTATTTGTCAGATAAAAGTAGGATGAATGCTTTCTTCCAGTATGTGGCTTGCCTTTTAATTTCATTCATGTTTTTGAAGAGTAGATGTTTTGATTTCAATGAAGTTTAATTGATCTTTTTTTTTTTTATGGTTGTGCATTTGATGTCTTATTTTTTATTTTTATTATTTGAATGGCCAGTTACTAGATTGATGTCTTATCTAAGAAATCTTTGCCTAAGTTTGCAAAGATTTTCTATGTTTTATTTTAGAAGTTTTATAGGTTAGCTTCATGTAGTGGATTTAGAGTTATTTTTTGCATATAAACTGGAGGTGAGAGTCAAAATTAAGTGTTTGGTTATGTAGTATTCAGTTGTTGAAAGACTATCCCATCCTTATTCTGACACCTTTGTCAGAATTCACTTGACCGTATATGTACAACTTTAATTTTAGACTCTGTTCTGCTCCATTGATCTGTATATCTATCCTTACACCCAGTACCATGCACTCGATTATTAATGTTTTATACTGTGTTGAAAACTTCCAACTTTGTTCTTTTTCAAAATTCTTTTGGTTATCTTAGGTCTTTTGCATTCTAGAATAATGTTTTACAGTCTGCTCAGTCCTTATGGTTTTTGTTTCTTTCATGAATGAGTGCTTGAAGAGCAAAGCAAAATTTTCTTGATTTTTCTGATGTTTTATGATCAAAGTTTTTCAGCATAGCTGGAAGTTTGCTGTCTTTGTAAATGTCATGTCTTTGAAAATACTTTGCTAACTTTGATTTGGTAATATTTTATATAAAATATACATAAAGTATTTTGTGGGGTTAAATATGTGTATATTTTTAAATCTCACAAAATATTATACTCTCAATCTTTGTTTAGATTTGCCTATATATTTGTTGCTTTGTGTCAGAAGGTGTTTTTATTTCGCCCTCATTCTTTTTTTTTTTTTTTTTTTTTTGAGACGGAGTCTCGCTTTGTCACCCAGGCTGGAGTGCAGTGGTACAATCTCAGCTCATTGCAACCTCCGCCTTCCAGATTCAAGTAATTTTTGTGCCTCAGCCTCCCAAATCCTGGGATTACAAGCATGTGCCACCATGCCTGGCTAATTTTTGTATTTTTAGTAGAGATGGGGTTTTGCTATGTTGGCCAGCCCAGTCTTGAACTCCTGGCCTCAAGTGATCTGCCCATCTCAACCTCCCAAAGTTCTGGGATTACAGACATGAGCCACCATGCCTGGCCTTCACCCTTATTCTTGAAAGACATATTTGCTGAGTACAGGATTGTATGTTGGTAGTTATTTTTGTGTTGAAGATACCATTCCATGTCTTCTGATTAAATTATTGCTGTCAAAATTAACTATCAGTCTTATTGTCCTTCTTTTGAAGGTAGTTTATCTTTCCTTTTGGGCTACTTTTAAGTTTTTCTCCTTGTGTTTTTCCATTTGCACCATAATGTGTCTTTGTGTGGATTTCCTTTATGTATCCTGCTTGGGATTTGTTGGGCTTTTTGAATCTTTGAGTTGGTATATTTCATTGGCTCTGTAAAATTCTCAGCTATTATCTCTAGGTATTTCCTTTGCCTCATTCTTCTCTTGTTTTGGGATTCTGATTAAATAGATATTAAACCTCACTGTATCCTCTATGTCTGTTATGTTTTCTTTGTTGTTTTTCGTTTTTTTGTCTCTCCATGCTGCTTTGTGGATAATTTCTTTTGCTCAGTCTTCTAGTTCACTGATTCTCTCTTATTTGTATCTAACCTCCAGCTGCCTTAGTCCATTCAGGCTACTTTAACAAAATACAGTCAGTCCTCCATATCTGCAGGTTCTGCATATGTGGATTCAATCAACTGTAGATGAGGAACCTGTGGATATGGAGGGCCGACTGTATTACGCCATTTGATGTCAGGGACATTTTATATAATTCCTGGGCATTTGGCATATGTGTGGGGGTGGCAGGGTGGGGTGTCCTTGAACCAATCCCCTGCAGGTACCAAGGGATGAACTGTACCTTAGACTGAGTAATTTGTAAATAATAAAAATTTATTTCTCACGGTTCTATAGGCTGGACATTTCAAGATCAAGGTGCCAGCAGATTCAGTGTCTGGTGAGGGTTGCTTTCTCTGTTTCAAAGATGGCTGCTTTTTGCTGTGTCCTCACATGGCAGAAGGAGTAAACATGGTCTCTCATACCCTTTTATAAGGGCACTCTGATCCTATTCATGAGGCTAGTGCTCTCAAAACTTAATCATCTCCTAAAGTCCTCGCTGCTTAATACTATCACACTGGTGATTAAGTTTCAACATATTAATTTTGGAGGGAGACATTCAGACCATTGCACTGTTCTTAAACTATGAGTTGAGCTTTAAATTTTAATTATTTTTAGTTTAGTAATTGTGCTTGATCTTTTTCAGATCTGCTCTGTTTTTACCAGGATCCTTTTTCCTACAAGTTTTAAAAAACTTTTGTTCCTTTAAATGTAATAAGCATCGTATTATAAAATTTGTGACTGATCATTCTAAGATTTAAAGTCTCAGATCTTTTATTTCTCCTGATTGTGGCTCATGGTGTCTTATTTTCTGTTTGTTTGGCTATAATGGAGGCCCCAAATGAAGGCTTCTGCTACTAAAGAGGATTTGTGTTTGCGTCAGTCAAAGAAAGAGAAAGTTGAATTAATTCTTTCAGCCTTCACTTTTGCCTTGGTAATTCCTTATGCCTTTTCAGCCATTTCATACTCTAAGATTTTAAAAAGTATTTTTTCTAGCTATTTTAGTTTTCTTAATGGGAGGGTTAGTGTGAATAATCTATTACTATACATTAAAAATCTTATCAAGTTTTACTAGGTTTTAATTTAATTCAGCTTTGCTTTCTTTTAGATTCGCTCAGCTTATTTTGAGTTAGTTTCTGCGTTGTGCCAGCGCATTCCACAGCTGATGAAAGAGGAAGCATCCAAAGTGAGCCCATCGGTTCTACTTAGCATTGATGACAGTGACCCAATTGTCTGCCCAGCTCTCTGGGAAGCTGTACTCTATACACTTACAACTATTGAGGTATGTAAGAGAGGCACATTTAGTACACTGAGGAATACTTGTCTTTTAGTTGCATTTTAGAACCCTTGGGTATCATATGACCGAGAACCTATGAGATAAGAATATCTAAAACTTATTGGGAAAATGCTTTCTTGGAAATAAAATAATCTAAACTTGGCATAAATCTTAAAGTGACTAAAAATGGCAAAGAGTTTTTATTTTATTTTGTTTAGCCAGTATTATTTCTTTAAACCTTATGTGGCCTAGTGCAGTCACCATATCTGAATTTTATATTTAGAATGAAATATAATTAAGATTGAAATATAATTGTCCCTTTTAGAAAGCAACTTTTATAGAAATAGAAGTTAAATAATTATTTCTAATCAATACTGTCTTGTATGCATGTCAAATATATGATCATTATATGTAATACATTTATAATTTCAGTTTTAGTTTTTAATGGTGGTGAGAGATTTTAGCTTTTTTTAGGTAAAATACTGGGTTTTTCTTTTTGAGAGCCTATATGTTTTCTCTTTTGAGAAAAGTATGTTTATGATGTCTAATTACTACTATAATCTTTTCTTTGGTTAGGACTGTTGGCTTCATGTAAATGCAAAAAAGAGTGTGTTTCCCAAGCTATCAACTGTGATTCGTGAAGGTGGTCGGGGTCTAGCTACTGTCATATATCCTTACCTTCTGCCATTCATCAGCAAGCTCCCTCAGTCCATCACAAATCCAAAGTTGGATTTTTTCAAAAATTTCCTCACGTCTCTAGTTACTGGGTAAGAAATTTAAATTTTTGATTTTTAAAACAGATTTTCCTGGTTTTATATTCATTATTTTCTTTCTTAAATTTCTCCAAGTTGTTTTACTATTCATTAAATACTTTTAAAGTTTTCAGAGAATTACAGTTGGTATTTTTTTCTTGAGTACGTTCAAGACTTCCGTAGTAGTACACAGCAGAAAGTTATATGGTAAAGCTCCTAGTTAGAAAAAGGTCAACTAGGCTGTTTTTCAAATTAGCCATTTTTTAAATAGCAGAATGTGCTAACCAACTGCACCACAGAGACATGTAGCCATTTTTTATTTTTTATATTGATAAATATAAATGCCTAAATGCAGAAAATTAGCCAGTGAAATTTTTAAAACTTCCACAAATTTAACTACTATAGATGTTTAAATTCACACTTAAAAAAACCATTTCAGTACGTTTGTTGAACTTAGAAGATACATGATTTTATTAATGATTACAAATTTTTTTACTACACTATTATCTTTATTTGGTTAATAAGTTATCTTGAATTTGCAAGTGGATTGGTTCCATGAATAGAAAATTAATATCTCGGCTGGGCGTGGTGCTAGCACAAGCCGAAGTGGGAGGATTGCTTGAGGCCAGGAATTCAACACCAGTCTGGTCAAGATAGTAAGACCCTATTTCTTAAAAAAAAAAAAAAAAAAAAAAAAAAAAAAAAAAAAAAAGAAGAAAAAGGAAATATTCTCTTATTTTTTACTGATAATTTTTTGCAAAACTTTTTCAAAGTTTTTTAAGTTCATATTCTCATTGGGCTATATGTATTTTCATTGGTATTTAATTTGTAGTTTAAGAAACTGCTTTAAAAATGTTTCTTCTGTCATGATGCCTTTTTGAGGTCTTTATTTTGATAATTCTGAGTTCTTATTTCTTCTTCACAAAAGAGTAATCCAGTTATTAATTATTTCTTAGGTTGTCAACAGAGAGAACTAAAACCAGCTCTTCAGAGTCGTTGGCAGTAATATCTGCGTTTTTTGAATGCTTACGTTTTATAATGCAGCAAAACTTAGGTGAGGAAGAAATTGAACAGATGCTCATCAATGATCAGGTATCTAGTAAAAGTCATCAGTGTCTTTGCATACTGATTATATAGGATCAACCTCATTGTGTCTTGTTGCCATTTTCAGTAATAAGCCTTCCTTGTAAAAATTTTATTTTTATAATTTACCAATTGAGTAATGTGTATTTCTGACCAGAGAAGTAAAAATTCCATACTCTCAGTTGCTAGCATAGTATGATACCTAAGAAACTAATCAGTGTCTGGATGCAGAAACCCTATTTTTTTTTTTTTTTTTTTGAGATGGGAGTTTCGCTCTTTGTTGCCCAGGCTGAAGTACAATGGCATGATCTCGGCTCACTGCAACCTCTGCCTCCTGGGTTCAAGCAATTCTCCTGCCTCAGCTTCCCAAGTAGCTGGGATTACAGGTAACTGCCACTATACCCAGCTAATTTTTGTATTTTTAGTAGAGACGGTGTTTCACCATGTTGGTCAGACTGGTCGAGAACTCCTGACCTCAGGTGATCCACCCGCCTTGGCCTCACAAAGTGCTGGAATTACAGTGTGAGCCATTGCGCCCAGCCTGTAAAAACCCTGTTTTAGAAAGATGTAATGCAGGCTGGGCATTGTGGCTCACGCCTGTAATCCCAGCACTTCGGGAGGCCGAGGTGGGTGGATCACTTGAGGTTGGGGCTTCAAGACCAGCCTGACCAACATGGAGAAACCCCATCTCTACTAAAAATGCAAAATTAGCCGGGCATGGTGGTGCATGCCTGTAATCCCAGCTACTCAGGAGGTTGGATAATTGCTTGAACCTGGGAGGTGGAGGTTGCAGTGAGCCAAAATCGTGCCATTGCACTCTAGTCTGGGCAACGAGCGAAACTCCATCTCAAAAAAAAAAAAAAGATGTAATGCAAAGCAGAATTTTGAAGATGCTATTTATGATCTTTTGTAGTAAGTTTAAATAAATCATGAAGCAATCATCTTGTTAATTCTAAAATACTCAAATTATGCTTTGTGAAAGTTTGGCTTGGCTTTTAGAACCAGAGATGAGCGAAGGTTATGGAATATGGTTCTTTACAGTAGGAGATTAATGAGATTTTAGAAGTCCAGATCCTAGGATTTCTCTAACTACCCTTATTTGTGTAATTTAGGAAATAGGATACCACACTCTGTGGGTTCTAGGTATCTTTCATATTGGCTTATAGTCTCACATCTTAGATTTACCTGTAGTTAAGGCAGAAAAGCAAAACACTTAAGTCCAGAAGATGCAAAGAAAATTAGATTGTTAATGACCAAGAATCCCAGTCAGTTTTATCACGAAAAAGGAATAATTGAGATGAAATCATTCAGCTCTTTTATGATATGAAAGAGATCTTCAGGTTAACTTTTTCAGAGTTCTAGGGGAAAATTTATGTTTTTCAGTTATTAAATATGAAATTTTATAGTATTTTACAAATACTTTGTTTAAATTTTATTTCTCTTGAAAATTGAACTTCTCTATTTTGTACCTTCTGTGAGTGGAAAAAACACAGTATTTCCTCTACTCTCACACCATAGTAATCAACACAGAAGACTTCTGTGACCAAATATGTGGGGATTTCTCCCCACCCAGCAAGCAGTCAGTTCTGCAGCAGACACCAGCTGTGTGTCCTTCAATTCAATTCTGACTCTCTACCTGGAGATAGTGTCAGATCTCACTGGCTTAGGACTCAGTCCCACAAGACCGCTCCCCACTTCTGATGCCAATCGCAAGCCCCAGGCTGTTTTACCTGAGCTTCTGACCAACCAGCTATACATCTTAATCAGGGATCCCATGACCCCCTCCTGGGGTTTGCTTAATTTGCTAGACTGGCTCACAGAACTCAGAGAAACAATTTACCAGTTTATTATAAATGATATTACAAAGGATACAGATGAAGAAATGCACAGGGTGAGATACGGGAAGGGGCGAAGAACTTCCGCACCCTCCTTGGGTGCGCTACCCTTCAGGAACCTCCACAAGTTCAGCTATCTGGAAGCTCCCTGAATGCTGTCTTTCTTGCATTTTTATGGAGGCTTCATTACTAGACATGAATGATTAAGTAATTGCCACTGGTGATCAGCTTCACCTTTAGCTGCCCTTGTATCCTTGGAGGTTGGGGAGGTATTGAAAGTTCTAGTCCTTTAATCCTGCCTTGGTCTTTCTGGTGATCAGCCCCCATCCTGCTGTATAGGTGCTGCCAGCCATCAGTCAACCCATTAGCTTACAAAATGATGTCACTTTGGAGATTCAAGGATTTTAGAGCTGTGTATCAGGAGATGGGGTTGAAGACCAAATATATATTTTATGATACTATACCTTTTCTTTCAGTTGATCCCTTTTATTGATGCAGTTCTCAAAGACCCAGGGTTGCAACATGGGCAGCTATTTAACCATTTAGCAGAAACTCTAAGTTCCTGGGAAGCCAAAGCAGACACGGAAAAAGATGAAAAAACAGCTCACAACTTGGAGAACGTACTGATACATTTCTGGGAAAGACTGTCAGAGATCTGTGTCGCGAAAATCAATGAACCAGAAGCTGATGTTGAGTTGGTTTTGGGTGTATCTAACCTATTACAGGTGCTTCAGAAGCCGAATAGCTCATTGAAGTCAAATAAAAAAAAAAATGGTAAGGTTAGATTTGCTGATGAGATACCTGAAAGCAATAAGGAGAATGAAAAATGTGTATCTTCAGAAGGAGAGAACACTGAAGGCTGGGAATTAACAACTGAACCTTCTCTCACTCATGATTCTTCAGGCCTTTTGTCTCCGCTAAGGAAAAAACCTTTGGAAGACTTAGTCTGTAAACTCGCAGATATAAGTATCAATTATGTCAATGAACAAAAGTCAGAGCAACATCTAAGGTTTCTTTCTACTCTGCTTGACTCCTTTTCTTCAAGCCGAGTATTTAAAATGCTACTTGGTGATGAAAAACAGAGTATTGTCCAAGCCAAACCTCTTGAAATAGCCAAACTTGCACAAAAAAATCCTGCAGTGCAGTTTTTATACCAGAAACTGATAGGCTGGCTAAATGAAGATCAAAGGAAGGATTTTGGGTTCCTGGTGGACATTTTGTACAGTGCTCTCCGGTGCTGTGACAATGATATGGAAAGAAAAAAAGTCTTGGATGATCTAACCAAGGTATTCCTGTTGTATATCTTTTCAAACTATTTTAATAATAGATGAGTAGAATGAGCCTGCATATTGTTTTCTGGTTGTTTCTTCACTGGGAGTGTCCATTTTAGGACAAGCAGTATATTTTTGATGATGATTTGGGAAGTATCTAAGGCTACTGGGTAGATGTTCAGCAGTATCAGGATAACAAATACTTGTAATTAAAAGGTGAATTCTTTTAATCTATACATTTAAAAGGTTTGATAAGAACATTTTAGTTTTGTATTGGTTTCATGGGTACTTCATTTACTTTTTAAAAGTTTTAGCTGGGCATGTTGGTGCATGCCTATAGTCCCAGCTACTCAGAAGGTTGAGGTGAGACAATTGGCTTGAGCCCAGGAGTTCTAGACTAGCCTGGGCAACATAGCAAAACCCCATCTCAAACAAAAAGTTGTTCTAGCAGATTGTTTCTAACTCTTTTTCTTTTTTCAGGTGGACCTGAAATGGAATTCTCTTCTTAAGATTATTGAAAAGGTATCTTAGGGATTTTTTTTTTTTGTACTTATGGGAATAGAAATATTATAACCATAGTCCTATTCACACAATAAATATGATCAGTCAGGTTCTGTGTTAGAGAACTTCCTCATTATTGTAACTTTCTTCCTATAATGTGGGAAGATATGTGTTCTTTTCCTTTCCTGTAGTATTATTTTTCTGGTTAGTAATATTAGGGAAAAATGAACAGGCTCTAGAAAATCCAGTGTTTCTTTCCTAGAAGGTAACAAAGGCAGATTTAAACATCTTATTATCTTTTAATTAAGGCTACAACTTTCTGCTCTTATCCTAGTTACTTTTTATACTGTAGAAATGGATTGGTGGTTCTAGCTTTGGCTAGAACACATGAGAAAATTAAGTTTTCTCTACTCTGGAACACTATGTAGATAAATAAAAATCTTCCAGTCTTTGTATGATTGCCACTGACTAAGAAAATTAGTGGTAAGAATAATGAAAAGAAATGAAAGAACACAAACCATTTACAAATTTTCAAAATAGCTTAAGTATTCTTTCCTAATGAGGATGTAAATGTTGTAACTAACACTTTTCCAACTGTAGAGATGTTATGACTAGCTACCTAAAATTCGTACTCCTTTTTAAAGCATTTTCAAATTATTTTTCTGTTTTCATAGCTAACTCCAATTTGCAAGTTTTTTTCTATTTTTTAAATTGTAGTAAAAAAACACATAGCATGAAATTTACCATCTTAACCATTTCTAAATGTACAGTTCAGTAGCATCAAGTATATTTATATTGTTGTGCAGTTTCCATAACTTAATTCGTCTTGCAAAACTGAAACCCTGTATCCATTAAACAGTAACTCCCCATTTTCCCCATGGTTTTATTTTTACAAAATAAATACAGAATATTTATTATTTTTCAATGAGGAATATGACTTATCAGGCACACTATTTGCCTTAGTTTATCTAGTGCCTTCTCTCCCTGTAGCCAAGTTACATGAAGAGCTAAATTATCAGAAGGCTCCTTGATAAGCCTTGAATCAGAGCAGGGGGTGTAAATAATTTGATAAGAGTAGACTAATGTATCCATTTCCAACTTAGGAATGTACCTGCCATGAAGTGCAAATACTCACATCTGTGTGGAAGAATATCCTCTTCCTGAGCAGTGATTGGAAGTTCCTAGCCAGTGTTTGCTGCCTGCGCTTCCATGACTCACTAGCCTCCTCATCTCCTTACAGCTAGGCAGCTTTCATTAGATATGTTCATACTGGCATATCTCAGAGACATCGTAAGTTCAGTTCCAGACCGCAGCAATAAAGCAAGTTACACAAATATTTTGGATTGCCAGTGCATATAAAAGTTATGTGTACACTATAGTCTATTAAGTGTGCAATAACATTATATCTGAAAACCAATGTACATATCTTAATTTAAAATTACTTTATTGCTAGACAGTGCTAATGATCATCTAAGCCTTCAGCGAGTTGTAATCATTTTGCTGATGGAGAGTCTTGCCTCGATGTTCGTGGCTGCTGACTGACCAGGGTGGTGGTATCTGAAGGCTGGAGTGGCTGTGGCAATTTCTTAAAATAAGGACAACAGTGCAGTTTACTGCATTGATTGACTCTTCCTTTCATGAAAGATTTCTCTGAAGCATATGATGCTGTTTGATAGCATTTTACCCAAAGAAGAACTTCTTTCAGAATTGGAGTCAGTCCTTTCAAACCCTGCCACTGCTGTATTATCTAAGTTTATGTAATATTCTAAATCCTTTGTGGTCATGTCAACGATGTTCATGCTTTTTCACCAGGAGTAGATTCCACCTCAGGAAACCACTTTCTTATCTGTACGAGGGAACTCCTCATCCATCCACATTTTATTATGAGATTACAGCATTTCAGTCACACCTTCAGGCTTCATGTCTCATTCTAGTTCTTTGCCTCTTTCCTCCACATCTGCAGTTACTTCCTAAAGTCTTGAATCTCCCAAAGTCATCCATGAGGGTTGGAATCAACTTCTCAACTCCTATTAATGTGACTATTTTAGCCTTTTCCCATGGTTCATGAATGTCTTAATGACATCCAAAATGGTGAGTTTTTTCCAGAAGGTTTTCAATGGACTTTGCCCAGATCCATCAGAGGAATTACTGTCTATGGCTGCTATAGCTTAATGAAATGTATTTCTTATTAATAAGACTTGAAAGTTAAAATTACTCTTTGATGCATGGGCTACAGAATGGATGTTGTGTTAGCAGGTGTGAAAACAACATTAATTTCCTTGTACATCTCTATCAGAGGTCTTGGGTTAACCAGGTGCATTGTCAATGAGCAGTAATACTTTGAAAGGATTTTTTTCTTTCTTTTTTTCCTTCGTTTTTCCACAGTGGGCTTAAGATATTCAATCAACCACACTATAAACATGTGCCGTAATTTAGTCCTTGTTATTCCACTTATAGAGCACAGGCAAAGTAGATTTAGCATAAGCTTAAGAGCCCTAGGATTTTTAAAATGAGAAATGAGCATTGGCTTCAACTTAAAGTTACCACCTGTATTAGCCCCTAACAAGAGTCAGCCTGTTCTTTGAAACTTGGAAGCCAGGCATTGACTTTTTGCTAGCTGTGAGAGTCCTAGATGGCATCTTCTTCTAATATGTGACTGTTTTACCTCCACTGAAAATCTGTTCAGTGTAGCCGTCTTCATTATTGATCTTGGCTAGATCTTCTGTGTAACATGCTGCAGCTTCTACATCAGCACTTGCTGCTTCACCTTGTACTTTTGTATTGTGGAGATGGTTTCTTCCTTTAAACCTCATGAACCACCTTTTGCTAGCGTCAGACTTTTCTTTTGCAGCTTCCTCACCTCTCAGCCTTCATAGAATTAAAGAGAATTAGGGCCTTGCTCTGGATTAGGTTTTGGCTTAAGAGAATGTTGTGGCTTGTTTGATCTTCTGTCTGGACCACTAAAACTTTGTCCATATCAGCAGTAAGTCTGTGTGACTTTCTGTTACTCTTGGGCTCACAGGAGTGGCGCTTTTAATTTCCTTCAATAACTTTTCCTTTGCATTCACAACTTGGCTGTTTGACACAAGAGGCCAGCTTTCCACCTCTCTTGGCTTGCAACGTGCCGTCCTTGCTAAGCTTCATCATTTCCAGCTTTTGATTTAAAGTGAGAGATGTGTGACTCTTCTTTCCACTTGAACATTTAGAAGCCATTGTAGTGTTATTAATTGGCCCAATTTCAGCATTGTCATGTCTAAGGGAATAGGGAGGCCCAAGGACAGAGAAGAGAGATTAGGTAACGGTCAGTCAGCAGGGCAGTCAGAACACACACACGACATTTGTTAATTAAGTTTGCCCTCTTACATGGCAGTGGTTTGTGGCACCCCCAAACATTACAATCGTAACGTCAAAAGTCACTGATTGCAGATCACTGTAACAGATATAATAATGAAAAGTTTGAAATATTGTGCGAATTACCAAAATATGACACAGAGACACAAAATGAGCATATATTGTTGTAAAATGGTGCTAATAAACTTGCTCAATGCAGGGTTGCCACAAATCTTCAAGTTTTAAAATTGCGGCATTTACAAAGCACAATAAATAAAAGCCCAATAAAACAAGGTATGCCTGTACATTATGTTGAACTTTTTATCTTGCTAACTCGAGAGACATTTTATTCAGAAGTTTATTTTGTTTACCAGGATTCTGCAGAATAGATTGGTTTTACTTGGCAAACTACACTGGGAAAGCAGGTATCACAGCCATCTAAATTCTAAAGTAGTTTTTCTTGTTTTATGGAACCTTAATACTTTATGAGCAGAGTCTTAAAATCATCTTTTTTGAGACAGAGTCTCGCTCTGTTGCCCAGCAGGCTGGAGTGCAATTTCACGGTCTCGGCTTACTGCAGCTTCTGCCTCCCAGGTTCAAGCGATTCTCCTGCCTCAGCCTCCTGACTAGCTGGGATTATAGGCACCTGCCACCATGCCCAGCTAATTTTTGAATTTTTAGTAGAGACAAGATTTCACCGTGTTGGTTGGTCAGGCTGGTCTTAAAGTCATCTTTTAAAAAAACAATCAATTAAAAAACAGATTTGAGTTTTGGAACCATAAAAGGACCTTAGAGATTTTCTAAGTTAATCTTTCCAACTTTCAAATTAGGAGATAGGCCCACGTTTATTAAAAGATTTGTCCAAGGTTGTAGGCTAGTTAGTGATAAAGCTTGGACTAAAATATAAGCTCTGGTAACCTACAATTTTTAAATAAAAGGATAAAGTTTTCCAAGCACTACCCAATCTGCACTTGGATTTTTTTTTTTCTTCCAGATTGCTTTGAAATGAACCAAGTTGCAAATTCCTTTCTTCTCAGCCCTTAAAGCAAAAGAAGCTCTGGGAACATGGATCAGCATGCTTTAGGGGTGGATTTACAGTTTTTTTTCTTGCTTCCCCACCTCATGAAAATAAGTTGCTGTCAGATACCTGGCCCTAGTAACTCTATCAGAGAATTTGGGGAAATAAATCCCATTGTTCATACTGAAGTTATTTACCATTATTATACATTAATTGTTCTTTAATTTTAGCAAAATTAATGAACAAATTTATAGAGCATTTATAAATCTATCTTCAAAGTTTATTCATGATTCATTGAACATATCTACAGTGTTGATAGCAGGTATCAAAGAAGTTTAAGACAGTTTCTACTCTCAAGGAACTTACAATCTCATTGGAAAGACAAGATATACACAGATGAAACATTTAAATAATTATACAATCCAGTAAGTGCTTTAGAAATTCAGAGAAAAGCAGTGATCATTGTGGGCTGGAGTGGATGGGGAGACTTCATAAAGTAGGTGGGATTTGTACTGATTTTCAAAGAATGGATGAGATTTTAAGTAAAAAAAAAAAGGTGTGGAGGGGGAATATTTATGGCTAGGAAGGTAGCATGAGCAAAGCATGGAAGTGAACATCATCCAGGCTTAGTGGGAAACAGGGAGGATACCAGTCTTCCTAGAACTTCAGGAGGAGAAGGAGGGGGGATAGAATTGGAGCCATCATAACGAAGGGATAGTAATATGGTACAAGTAATATTTTGGACAGAGAGAGTATTTGATCTTGCTGTTGATCTTTGCTTTAATTTTATGGTTTTAGGCATGTTCTAGTTCAGATAAACATGCTTTAGTAACTCCTTGGCTAAAAGGCGATATCCTTGGTGAGAAATTGGTCAAGTTGGCAGATTGTCTTTGTAATGAGGACTTGGAATCCAGGGTATCTTCAGAACCTTACTTCTCAGAAAGATGGACTCTTCTAAGCTTGGTATTATCCCAACATGTTAAAAATGGTAGGACTTTTGTTTTCTAATAGGGGATAATCCATTTCACTTTTGTGGGGGATTCCATGGGGCTCAGCTTACGTGTTATTGGTTGAAAATAACGACTTATTCAAAAAATTTTTTTTTCTTTGTTTTTTTTTTTTTTTGAGACTGAGTCTTCCTCTGTCATCTAGGCTGGAGTGCAGTGGTGTGATCTTGGCTTACAACATCTGGGTTCAAGTGATTCTTGTGCCTCAGCTTCCCAAGTAGTTGGGACTACAGGTGCATGCCACTATACCTGGCTAAATTTTGTATTTTTACTAGAGATAGGGTTTTGTTGTGTTGGCCAGGCTGGTCTCGAACTCCTGACCTCAGGTGATCTGCCTGCCTCAGCCTCCCAAAGTGCTGGGATTACAGGCGTGAGCCGCTGCACCCAGCTCATTTATGTGTCTTAATATTGTAAGCACCCTAATTGTTTCTTAATCTTCATACCATGACTTGGAAGATACTTAATATTTTTAGTTCTATATCATAATGATTTTTTTTTTTAACTCATAAAGTTGACTCATGACTTAAAGAGTTTTCAGTGTAGCAAAGTTGCTCACCCTAACTGTGTAAACTATTTCTGTTTTCTACTTAATTTAAAACTGCCTTTTTTACCTGAGGGCCTTTATGTGTGTGAGAGAATGTGTTGATTTGTTGATAAAATTTTGTCTAATACATAAACACCGTTTTAAAATCCAGGAAAGACCTATAGAATTATTAATCCAAAGTAAGATATTTAAAAATACACGTTAATATTTTTATTTTTTGTCTGTTTGAACCTTTTTTCTCTAGATTACTTGATTGGAGATGTATACGTTGAAAGAATTATTGTTAAACTTCATGAAACTTTGTTCAAAACAAAGGAATCATCAGAAGCTGAAAATAGTGACTCATCAGTGTCTTTTATCTGTGATGTGGCCTATAACTATTTCAGCTCAGCGAAAGGATGCTTGCTAATGCCATCATCTGAAGATTTATTATTAACTCTCTTTCAGTTATGTGCCCAGAGCAAAGAAAAAACACATTTGCCAGGTAATAGCCTACTGCTCAAATGTTTTGTTGGGAATCTCCGGCTCTGACCTTCATAGTGAGTGTAAGTGCCCAGGCTTTATTAATTGAATCATAATGTGTTTGAAAGTTTAAAGCATTTTGAGTAAAGGGCTACAGTCTTAAACACTTTCAGCTTTAGAAACCAAGTTAAAGATGTGTGTAGATGTTATTTCTAAAGATCTCACTTGATATTCAAAGAAATTTGGAATGAGCCATAATTGATTAGGTAGAATCTTAGTCCATTCAGCAGTTCTGGCATGTTCCTTAATTTCTTGATGCCTTAGTTTCCTCATTTGTAAAAGGGGGATAATAATATCCCTTTATTATAGTAAAAACATTCAATCTTTGGTGTATATCAAAATAGAATTGAGATTATCTTTTTAAGGACTATATTCTTGCCTTATATGCTAATTCAGACTTATTTGTGAAAGGAACATACAAAAATACTATCTATAGAGAGCTCTCCTCCAACCCTTCGTTGTTTCTTTTTTTTCTTTCCTTCTTCCTTCCTCTTTCTCTCTTTTTTTCTGCCCATCATTGTCTACCAACCCTGTCTTAAATACTAACTTCTGTATTTGGAAAAGGTGTAATAATTTTTTTTTAATGTCTCCAAAAGGACAATTCTTGTAAATAAGTTCAAGCATAAAAAATGTAACTTTAAATATCTTACCATTTTACATTTATATGATACGAGCTAGCTTGTGTGATTGCATGTTTATGACACAGTTGCTTTGTTTGGCAATTGAATTTTGAATGGCAATTGAACTTAAAATTTTTCTTTTTTAAATGGTATTTTAAAAAATCTCAGATCTGTAGAGTTGTTTCAAACATTTCGTGCTGATTAGAGTTAATTCAGTGAGATTACAAATTCCTGTTGACATCTTGATTTTAGATTTTCTTATCTGTAAACTGAAAAATACTTGGCTCTCCGGTGTAAATTTATTGGTTCATCAAACTGACAGTTCATATAAAGAGAGTACCTTCCTGCATTTGTCTGCTGTGTGGCTGAAGAACCAAGTTCAGGCTTCATCTTTGGATATCAACAGGTAACCTTTTTTGAGCTTGGTTTCAGTGTCTTTTTTATACTTTGTCAGTGTCCTTAAATAAGATTCCATGATCAGTGTGAATGCCTATGAAAAATTACTTGTAGGGCTTGCACCTATAATCCCAGCTACTCAGTAGGCTGAGGTGGGAGGATCAGTTGAGGCCTCTGGGAGTTCGAGACCAGCCTGAGCAACATAGTGAGATGCCATCTCTTAAAAAAAAGAAAAATGAAAAATGACTTGTTAGGTAACAAATCTATGGGACTCTAAGAAAAGATCCAAACAAATTTTTCCAAAACCATTTTGTTTCAATAATCATCCATTTAAACTGCCAATTAATTGAAGGATAATTTACTATAACATACCTGCTGGACTCATAACTTATAGACAGTAAAGTGATGGTAATACTATCCTTTGTCATAGGCCGGTGTGCACTGTAGCCTCTCATGGTCACCACATGTACTGATTGTCCTTGGTTATTTATTTTTGGGGGACAGGTAGGCACTGTTTTAAGGTGTTGAATTGCAAGTATATTTTACATTTCATACCTACATCCATATAATAAAGGAGAAGAGAGAATGCATTTAGAAGATATTGGGGTTAGGTTAAATAATGCTGAATTTCATAAGGTAGCTATATTTCTGAAATACCTGGTCTGAAATAGGTCAGGTCCTCTTCATTCTGAGATAGATAGGAAGCAACACTAGATTTCAGATGATAAATATTGGATTACCTACCCAGTTTGACTGTGCTATGTTGGTGTGTTGTCGGTGGGGGAGCATCACTTACCTCTTTTTTATTTTCATCATTTCTTTTTGTTCAGGTAAGCTATTATAGGGTATTTAATATGTACTGGGGTATTCAAACTAGTCATAGCATAACTACAACAGTTAAGTTTTTTGCATTATTTTTAGTCTCCAAGTCCTCTTGTCTGCTGTTGATGATTTGCTAAATACACTTCTAGAGAGTGAAGATTCTTATCTTATGAGAGTTTATATTGGAAGTGTAATGCCGAATGACAGTGAATGGGAAAAGATGAGACAGTCTCTTCCTATGCAGGTATTTTTGAAATTGAAGAGTATGTATCTCATTCTGAGGTTTGGATTTCATGCAAGCTTGAATATTTTTTATTTTGGGGAAGAAAAACATAAATAAAATGAATATTTTGCTTTGCTTTGATGTCTTTGTACACTCATATACTGGATGTTTGCTTTTTGCAAGACACTATTTGACAGTGGCAGTGGCCATGGTACAAAGACTTAAGACCTAGTTCTGTACTTAAGGAGTCTTAAAGAAATACACGTTGATAATTTCCTGTAATAGAAAACAAACTTCTAGGTTTCCGTGGTTTTGGTAATAAATATTCTCACAACTTCATTTTTGTTCAGTCTTAATTGCTTAGGTAATAAATAATTTTGTATATAATGTACTCTTTTCACAGTGGTTACATAGACCTCTTTTAGAGGGAAGATTGAGTTTGAATTATGAATGTTTCAAAACAGATTTTAAGGAACAGGACATAAAGACACTTCCCAGCCATTTGTGTACTTCAGCATTATTGAGCAAAATGGTCTTAATTGCACTGAGAAAGGAAATAGTCTTAGAAAATAATGAGCTTGAGAAAATAAGTAAGTATATATGAGCATTTACATATAACATAATGCATGAATAATCTTGAAATAATCTTGATTATACTGCAATTTAAATCTTTAATTTAAAGAATCTTCAGCTTCCTTTTTCCTATTTTAATGATGAGAACCTTGAAATTACTTGAGTGATGAATATTAAATTGCAAATTAGATACAAATATATTGGAACCTTGCTATAATCTTGTTAACTGTGGATCATAATTTGGTGTTAGCTACTCACACTGTCATGACATCAATATAAAAAGATCCTGTGACACATACCCTAAAGAAAATGGGTGAGGCTTTGGTGTTTTATCAAGGATTCAGAATTTTCTGTTGATTAAAAAAAATTGATACCTGATAATTGTACATATTTATGGGTTACATGTGATATTTTGATATATACATAGAATGTGTAGTGATCAAATCAGGCTAAGTAGGATATTCATCACCTCAAACATTTATCATTTCTTTGTTTTGAGAACATTTCAAATCTTCTAGTTATTTTTAAATATAAATCATTGTTAACTGTGGTCATCCTACTGTATTATTGAATACTAGGTCTTTTATCTTCTCTCTAACTGTATTTTGGTACCCATTCACCCACTTCTCTTCATCCCCTGCTCTCCTTGACCCTTCTCAGGGTAACCATCAGTCTATTTTACTACTCTTATCTTCATGAGATGCACTTTTTTAGCTCCCATAAACAAATAAGAACATGCGATGTGTGTCTTTCCATGCGTGGTTTATTTCATTTAGCATGATGATGTCCAGTTTCATCCGTGTTGCTGCAAATGACAGGATTTCATTCTTTTTTTCTGAGACAGAGTCTTGCTCTGTTGCCCAGGCTGGAGTGCAGTGGCGTGATCTCGGCTCGCCACAACCTCCGCCTCCCAGGTTCAAGTGATTCTCCTGCCTCAGCTTCCCAAGTAGATGGGACTACAGGTGCACGCCACCATGCCTGGCTAGTTTTTGTATCTTTAGTAGAGACAGGGTTTCACTATGTTGGCCAGGCTGGTCTTGAACTCCTGACCTCGTGATCTGCCTGTCTCAGCCTCCCAAAGTGCTGGGATTATAGAAGTGAGCCACCGTGCCCGGCCTCATTCTTTTTTTAATGTCTGAAGAGTATTCCATTGTGTATATGTACCACATTTTATGTATCCATTCATTCACTGATGGACACTTAGGTTGATTTCATCTCTCTCAGCTATTGTGAATAGTGCTGCAGTAAATATGGGGTGCAGATATACCAGTTTTCTAAATACTCAGTGGGATTGCTAGATTGTATGATAGTTCTATTTTTAGTTTTTTGAGCCACTTCCATATCGTTTTCAAAAATGGCTGTACTAATTTGCATTCCTACCAACAGTATATAAGTTCCTATTTCTCTGCATTCTTGCCAACATTTGTTATTTTTT